CTGAGCAAAGCGCCCGTGTCCACCTGACCTGTCTGTCGATCATTCATTCCATTCTTTTTGAACATCCGTGTCAGTGAATGCATACTGGGTGCCTCCTTTATACTGGGGCAGAGAGCACAGCAGTGGACAGAATCACCCAGATCCCTGCCCTCAGGAAGCTTATCCTCTGGTGAGAGAGAGACAGGCAATAAACACTTTAAGGATACCTAGCATGCCAGATGGTGGGTGGTGCTGGGGAACAGAGGTGGTAGTTGAGGGAGTGAGGAGGCAAGCATTCCAGGGAGAGGAAATAACAATGGCACAGGCCCCGAGACTCTACCCCTTTATTCTATTGCATCTGAAACTCTGCCCACCTCCAGCATCCTTCTATATCCCTCTTGTTCTGGACCTCCACTGGCCTCCTTCCAGTCCTCTCGTGTTCCTGCCACAGGATGGTGCCCTGCCCATTGTCCTGAAGCTGTTTCTCCTCCAAGACTGGTCCACTCTGACTCACTGTTTTTGTCCCAAGTCAAACATCCCTGCTCATTAACCCAACCCCCCTCCCAGGTCCAGCACAGCTTTGAGAACCATGCCCTGTTCTTACAGCTCATCTCCACGGGAACGATAGGTTCACATGTGTGGTTATTTGCATCAGATTGGCTGTTGGGTTGGCTGTCTGGCCAATTGTGGGCTTCAGGAGGGAAGGAGTCATGCCTGGTCTTGATATCCCCAGGGCCCAGCCCCGAGCTTGGCTCATAAGAGATACTGGCGATTACCCAGAGGTGGGAGCACCCAGTTCTGCTTGGGGTTCACAGGGAAAGGGAAAGGAAGAGACCTGACCTGAGCCGGGTCTCGAAGGAAGAGTAGAGGCCCCGATCCCAGTGTCCAGCTCTCATTACCTCCCAAACCAGCCAGGTGCAGTCTGGTGGGAAGGTGGGCCATGCTACTTTCAGAGGTGCTGAGGTTAGTGTCAGGTGTCTGGAGACAGTAGCGCTTGGGTTGGACTGTGGTGAACGTGGTGTGCACCAGAACTTCTCCCGGGAGTGAGGGGTCTGCATCGATGGTCGTAGTGTCCCCATCCAGGGAGAGCAGAGGCTGGGCAGGTCTGTCCACATCTAAATCGCTCATCTGTGCTCTTCTTTCAGAGGGTGTGGAGCTGCGCAGCAGTTCTTAGTAAGTAATGAGTCTCTGCCTTTGCTAGTCCCTCATTTCCATGACCCAGTGAACGGAAAAGTCCTTCTTCTCTAGCTGTTATTCATCTTATTCTTGGCATCTGGCTGCCATAATATCCCTCCCTGAGCGTGGTCCTCCAGTAATTCAGGCATGTTGTTCTGGCGACGAGGACACTTATAGTTAATAACTCATGAAGCCATTTCATTACAAGGAAGGTTTTGTTCGGACACATTAATACACGCTGCCAACCAAAACAAACCATTTCATTCCTTGGGTATTAAGGAAGCTAAACAAGTTAGGAACCTAAAGCCATTTTTAAAAGAATCTTTATCATCTTAATGCCATCTGACCATCTTTGAACGTCACAGTCTGTGTAGAGGGAGTTGGAGTTTAGAGAATGTAGCAATGTTTTTCTCTAAGATGGGACGGTGCCGCGTGTGCCCTGTTCAGCACCTCATGGGCCTGGTTCTGGTTCTCCTCACTCCTAGACCAGAGTGGACACATTGCTTCATTGTTCCAGTCTCTGGTTGAAGGCATGTGAAACTGCAGGGCTTCTGTCAAAGTCGTAGGTGTAATGTCTGGCACATGATAGGCTCTGCTAAATGGTGCGTCGCCTTCTGTGAGTCCAAGGGCGACATTGGGGTTACTGCTAGCTTTCACTCCTGACCATCACAACATGCACAAAATCGTGTTCACTTCCAAGGTGGGAGGGGTTCGAGTGTTTACAGAGGCACCTGAATTTGAAGTGGAGAAGGGTGTACTTGATCCATGCTGCAGAAAGCAGGGCAGCCGGCATTGTTTCCAAGCCAGGTGTGTAAATGAGCATTTATTTATCCCAGTGTGCTCACGCATTCACATCAGCGGGTGCTCTGTGGGGTCTGATCCTCGCAGAGTTTACAGCACCCATCGAGTGTCTCCTGTGAGGTCCCCTCCTGAAACAGTACTCGTGTTGGAGAGCCCTGACAAGACTGCTTGTGTGACGGGCAGTATAAACACTGGGCCAGCCTGAGGCCTCAGAGAGGCGCACCCAGCTTGCGCTGAGTCAGAAGCCCAAGTAATGCTTCCCAGGGTTTGTTTTAGTCCTTCAATATCTACCTGAGGTCATTTACTGAATTCTGTTGTTTCTGTTGACACTTTTTTGGAAGCAAAGGGGATGTTTAACTGCCCAGCCCACAAACTCAGCATTCTGTTTGTGTTTCCTCGCCTGCCTAGCATTTGACAATTAATTAAGCATGGTAATCACCTGCTTTAATTTTGTGATTGCACATCCTATAATTACCCCTAATTCTGTAATAGGGAAATTCATGTACACAAAGGTAGATGACGACGAAGGTGAGGGGGTTACAATATTAACAGCTGCCACTGCTTACTGCCTGCCAAGCAGGGCATCTCATAACCACCCAGCCAGGTTGGTATCATCCCCATTTTACAGACTGAAGGCTGAGTCTTGAGGCGGATGGAATATCATCCCCAGAGTCACAGCTAGCAAGGGGAAGAGCTAGGATTTGAACCTGGCCTCTCTCCCTGCACAGCCCTCTCACTAAGCCATCCTGCCTCTTGCATGATCGGCCTCAGGCATGTCTAAGAGCCAGCAGACTGCTGGCTGAGCGGCCTGTGCGTGTGCTGGGCAGACCCTTAGAACAGATCTGGGACTTAAATCCACTTAAAACAGCTTTTAAATTTTCATTCTCCCTCTCCCTGTGTGTCTTTCATTTTTTCTCCTTTTCCTCCTTCCTCCCTCTCTCGATTGATTGATATTTAGATTTATATAGATGTGTGTGTGTGTGTGTGTGTGTTTCAGAGAGAAATTTTACCCAGGAACATGCAACATTTGATGATTAGACGTGTTAACAGATGTAAAGAATGTTGTCCTGCACGTAATCACTTAGTTCTCCCCCTGCTCTTAAGAAGTGGCTCCCAGCACTATCCTCACTTGCCAAATAGAGAATTGAGGCTTAAAAAAGAGGGGAACTAACTTACCCAGGATCACCTGGCTAGCAAGAGGTGGTGCTGGGATTGGAATGCAGGCCTGCTGAGGCTAGAATCTAGTCTCTGGACCCCTCTAAACACTGACATCTGACTGTGTGTCATGCCATGTGGATGCTCACCCACTGCAGTCTACTTTAGACATCCCAGGACCATAAGTTAGGATGAAAGCTCACTCTCTTGTGGATAGTGAGGGCATGTGTTGTTTTTTATTCCCCTTCATTTTTGCTTTTAAATCTAGCTTTAATATAAATATCAGGTGTATAACTCTTAAGTTTTTGGTTCAATTATTTTTTCCTTTTGTATATACCTGTGTAACTACTGCCCAGGAGGCTCTTTGTGCTCTTTTGTATTCTGTGTAAGAATCATTGCCTACCCCCCCAAGGTCATTAAGATATGTTTTCTCCTAGATACAAGTTTATCTTTCACAATGAGATCTATGATCCCCAAAGGAATGAGTACAAAAGCCATGCTCATGAACACTCATAGCTGCCTTACCCAGAATAGTCCCAATTGGAAACAGCCTAAATTCCCGTCCCTGCAGAATGGCTAAATAAATTGTGGCATATGTGTACAGTGGAATACTATGCAGCAATGAACAAGGAAGCTGACCAACAACATGAAGACACCTCATAAACACAGTATAGAGCAAAAGAAACCAGACACAAAGGAGCACACTCTGTATGAGTCCATTTTGATTTAGTTCAAAAGCAGATGAAAGAAACCAGGGGTTTTGGTGTTTTGGACTTTATGGCAGGTCCTGACGTTGAACTTTCTGAATTTCATCACGTGAGATTTGACTCATCCCTCAGGCTAGTTGAGGTCACTTAATATCTGTGATCCAGTATATTTACTGTCTCTCTGAGCTTGGAGGCTTCTAATAAACTCGATAGATCTAATTCCAGTGGAAACTTCTATTCACTAATTGCAATTCTTTGGTTTAAGTCCTCCTTCCTTTGCCTTATTCAAATATTGTGAGAGACCCTGATGGTCACCTAACCAAAGTTCAAATACATGATGTCTGCATCGGAGATGTTGGGTGTTTTTATGTAAAGGCAGAACTTAACATCACGTTGAGATGCCTATTTGTATGGTTAAAGAGGTTTTAAGATGTGTATTGACATTTACTGATTGCAAATTACACTAACCATTTATCATCAGGTGTTTACTCTCTGGGCTGTCCTTAACTCATATAATTTCTAAAATGCATTGATCTCTCTCCCACTTCTGTTTTCCCTCCCTGGGTAGTTTCTTTGTGTGCCTGGGAGATGTTATGCCTGTAAAAAGCTGATGAGACAGCCCTCACATTTTGTATGCACCGAGTGTTCTCTTAGGAGTTACAACTTTATTAAAATAAAGGTATTTTATGTCCCTGTTGTGCTTATCCCATGTGGACATGACCTTCCATCCAGCTGGGCTATCTCTGGCCCCTCCTTCCTTCCCCAAATTGAGCTCTCCCTCCTTGGTGTGGTAGTCTGCGTGGTCCCAGGCACAGCTGCGTTGCTTCTGTACCTGAATGCTGTCCACAGCACCTTGGGAGGAGGTGCTGTTACTCAGCTCCGTTGTACAGATGAGGGAACACAACAAAGAGGCGGAGTAGACCCTCCCCAGCAACTTGTCACTGCTGCAACATGCCTGTTCCCGGAACCTGCCTGATTCACCCTTCATATCCCCGTGTGTTCACTCAGTAGTGCTGAGTCCCTGTGCTGTCCAGGCACTAGCATCAGTGGCCTAGGAGACAGATGTGGCCTCTGCTCTCAAAGAGCTGGTTTTCATGTGTGCAGCACTGCCAAACTCCCGCCCCTTCATAATGAAGTTTTAAGAGAAGTCTCCATTTTCTTTCTCTTTCCTTTTCTTGCCAGGTCTACATCCGGATAAAAGATGATGAGTGGAATGTCTATCGGCGGTACACAGAATTCAGGAGTTTGCACCACAAATTACAGAACAAATACCCTCAAGTGAGAGCCTACAACTTCCCGCCCAAGAAGGCCATTGGAAACAAGGTACCGTCAGGTGCGGAGCAGGCGGCTCGGCACTGATGCCTGCATTGAAGCAGGCTGTTTCTTCTTTTCCTTCAGCTTATGACTTACACACGTGATGCAGGCGTTCTGGGGGTCTGGGGACCCAAAGGTGCGGGTCCCACTGTGGGTTCTTGGCTTCAAGCAGGGAGGAATTCATATATGAGCCAGCGTAGAGTTTAAGTGCGAAAGAGTTTATTAGTGAAGCAGTGACACAGAGAGTGGGCTACTTCATAGGCAGAGCATCCCTCCATAGTGGGATTTGCTTCCTTTATTGAGGCTTATTTAATTGAGGGGTAGGGAATTAAATAAGGGAGAAGAATATTCAGAATTTTGGGGGGGAAGGGGTGGAGATTTCTTGGAAGAGCCCCATTGGTGTTTTGTCCTTATATGCAGGCTTTCCATTTCCGATCATGGTGGGCAGGGTGTGCCGTTTAGCATGCTAACATATTACAATGAGCGTATAATGAGACTAGGGGTCACCACAAGGTGAAATTAGTCTCCATGCTCGATCGAGCTGTCTTCTGCTGGTTCTAAGCCATAAATCTGTTGGGGGTTGGTCTTACTGTGTCCCTGACAGTCCCGTTAGCCCTTATTATAGTTGTTTCTCCACATACCCTATCTCACATGCTGCTATAAACATACAGCTCAAAAGCTGGCTAATGTAAGATAAAAGAAAGAAACTAGTCACCCATAATTTCACCACCTAAAGACACTCACACTATGTTTTGTTTGTATGCATCCTCTGATGTCTCTAGGGGAGGGGTTGGCAGTCTTGTTCTCTAAAGGGCCCGATAGTAAGTATGTCTGGCTTTGCGATCTGTACATTTCAGCTGAAAGTACTGCATGCTGCCCTTATGGTATGAAAGCAGCCACAGACTGTGTGGACACAAATGGGTGTGTCTGTGTGCCAGTAAAACTTTATTTATAAGAATAGGTGGCAGTTGGATTTGGCCTGTGGGTCATAGTTTGCTGACCCCTATTCTGGACCAAAAAATGTTTCCTAGTTCTCGTGAGTGGTTGTTATGATATGTATTTGGAGTTATGAATGTGGAGTTGTTTCCCAAGCAGAGCTTCCTCAAAAGAACTTCTTTTATTATAAGGGTTCTGCCCTCATGGGGCTTAATAATTTATAATGACATAATTTGTTCCTGTGTAATCATCTAGGTACCCTGGAGAAAGGAGGGGCAAGTCCTCCACAAGTTTGCTGGTTGACTCAGCAAGTGTTTATTGAGCACCTATTATGCGTCACAGTGCAGGAGGCAAGAGCCTAGCACTTCAGAACAGGCCTGGGCTTAGCATAGAGGCCTGTTGAATGGCCTGCTTTGGCCAGTTGGCATCATTTTGTCATCCCTCATGTTTGCTTAGAGCAGCAGCTCCATCTTGGCTGAACTCTGGATCACTTGTGGGGGGTTTAAAAACTACTGAGACTTGCTCATCCCCCAGCCCCATTCTGATTTAATTTGTCTGGAGGAAGGCCTGGGCCCTGAGTGGTTTAATAGCCATTCTGACAGGTGCGAGGTGGTATCCCGTTGTGGTTTTAATGTGCATTTCTCTGGATTTCCTTCCAACTTTATCATAGAAAATCAGAGCAAGAGTTTCCATAACCCACTCCCACCACTTGGAAGTTCCATAGGGAAAACTGTTACTGACTGTTATGTTTATATATTCATAGACTTTGGTGTTTAAACCAAGTTAGGAATCTGATCACGTCAGGGCCTGTTAGATCTTAATTTAAACATTTATAAAGCAGTTTATCTCAGGCCCAGAATTAATCTGTCATTCCATTTTCTTCTGTTGAAGAAAAGTGGAGTTGAGCCCATAAAAATGGAAGACTTAGAAATTCCACGCTTGTTCAGAGCAAGGAGTACAATAATTCTTATGAAAAGAGGGGGAGGGGATTATATACTGATTTAATCTAATGACTCGTGGGCTCATACAAATCTTGGGACCCATCCAGAATGTCTTAAAATGTCATAAAACAAAATTCTGCCTAACCATCCTATTATCATTATGAGATGTTCTCACTTGCAGAAAGCATTGTTCCGAAGCAGCCCTTCCATGACGTTCCTTCAGGAGGCCTGCCTGTGGCTTGCTGAGGGAAATTATATAAGGCTGAACTGGGTCATTCACATGGGGAAGTGTCCTGCACTGTGTAGTCCCTTCCTGTGGCTGCTGTTACACATCACACAGTTAGTGGTCCAAACAACACAAGTTTATTATCTTCTAGTCTGGAGTGAGAAGTCCAAAATTGGTCTCACTGGGCTACAAGGTGTCGGCTGGGCTGTGTTTCTTCCAGAGGCTCCAGGGGAGGATCTGTTCTTGCCTTTTTCAACTTCTGGAGGCTACCCATGTTCCTTAGCTGTGGCCCTCCTGTGTCGTCACAGCTGCAGTCACATGGTGAACCTCTGTTTCTGTCAGCATGCTCAATCTTCTTCTGGGACTCTGGCCCTCCTCCTCCTATAGGGACCTTGTATCACAGTGGGCCCACCCAGAGAATCCATGGTCAACTTCTATCTCAACATCCTGAGCTTCATCACACCTGCAAAGCCCCTTTTGCCATGTAGGTTAAAATGCTCACAGGTTCTGGGATTAGGAAGTGGCCATCTTCAGGGGCACACACTGCTAAATGCTTTCCCTGCAGCCCGAAGTGACTCCCTCCCCACCTCGTATCTCCTCAAGCCTATAATTACACAAAACTTAAGACAAACCAAACCTACCAAGAACACCACCAATCCTGAGAACCCAGCCAGGTGAGCCTCAGGGTTTCATGAGCTGAAGCCCAGGCCCGAGGAGTCCGAGGGTCTGTGTGGAATTTAGTAATTTATGATGAGCCTGAAGCAGTCCTGTCTGTCCTGTGCCAGGAACAGGGACTGCAAGTGAGTGTCCCCTCTGAGCTGGGTCATCCTCAGCCCCGCTTCAGATTCTCAAGAATGCTGTCAATTTTGAGCAGCGTGGATTTCTTCCTATGCAGTCTGTGCCTATAACAGGGCTGTGTCTCCCAACCTTCCCCTCCCTTCAGTGCAGCTCTCTTTGCAAATAAACGAGCTTGAGATGTGAGGTACAACATTGGTGGCCTGGCCCAGTGATGACTGGCTAGTACAGATGCTCTGGCTAGTTCTTAACTAGATCTCTGGTGTTGCTCCCTGTGGTCAGGGTGGAGCTGACAGTGTCCTCTGCAGCTCAGGAGTCAGGCAGCTTTGAGCTGTCATGGGGCCTCTGCCTCCTGCAGTAGCCTGTGCAGCCCTCTGGCCTGTAATGGGCTGGTTGTGCCATGATTGTGCTTTGATTCTTTCTTCCCCAGCATTTGGCTAAGACATGCCTGTTTCCCTTAAGTACACTTTGGCCGCTGCCCAGCACAGATCTGAGGGCCCATCCGATTTTCAAGTGCAGACTGAGTCAGAATTAGGACTTCAGTGCTCAGCAGAGCTGACCAGCGAACTCTGCTAAGAGACCAAGCTTGTGCTGGCTCCAGCTGGGCCCCAGCTGGGCTCAGGTTACCTGCTTTGATACCCTGAGGGCAGATTTTCTAGAGAGGTTTGATTCTAAATTGGACCAGAAAAATCGGCCAGGTTAGAATCTTGTCTTTGATTGAGTCACCTCAAGAATGATGCACTTAGCACTTGGACCATTAAGGCATGCCGACACGATGTCCTTAAGGGATTGAGTTATATATACCTTGGACCCGTTAAATGAATCACTCCAGAGTCCACAGACCTGAATAGTACTCAGGGATGTATTAAACATAAGTTAGCCTTTTTAAATAAATCAGATGAGTATCTTTCTAGCCTGAATTTCTAGATATGTCTGTCCCCAGTGATGCCAGTTATAGAAGTAAAATAATATGATCTCAACCCCAGTTTGAACTTTTTTTAATTGCTCAAATTAACACATTGCAGTTTGTGGATACAGGATTTATATTTACCAAAGTTTTTCTTTTGCCATGAGAGGCCACACATGTGTTTAATTATAAATGCACCACTGCCCAGAGCACTCACTAGAGACAGCCACACCTTCACACACCATATCAAGCCCAAATCTTGTTAGAATAGTTACCTGAATATCATCCACCACTTGATGAAATTTATTCCTTTGTAGCTGAGTCAAGCCATAATAGTTGTATGTTAAAGTTACTTATTAATGTTTAAATATCACAGACATAGGCCTTATATCAATCAGGATAGGCTTGGTTAGGCTGAGTTAACAAACAGCTCCACAATCTTTGCAGACCAAACCAACCAGGGTATATTTTTGGCTCACACTTTGTGTCCAGTGTGGGTTGGCTGGGAGCTCCTTTCCTCATAGTGTCAGGGGCCCGGGCTGCTGGAGGCTCCTGTCTGTGTGTTGTGGCAGCAGGAGCAAGGGACAGAGGAAAATCAGACACTTGTTCTTCAAGCTTCTGTCTGGAAGTGATACATGTCAATTCCACTCATTTCATTAGCTAAAGTAAGTTACAGAGCCTTGCCCCATGCCGAGGGGGCAGAGGAGTCCCCTCCTACCACCTGCAGAGAAGAACCAGAATCTTCATGGTCAGCTCTCATGACCACACCCCTGGGTGTGGCATTTCTCTTGAGCCCCATTACCGAGCAGGATTGAGATGATAAGGGAGCAGAATTCCACTAACCCAAGTCCTGTGGGCCTCTGCCTTTAAATCATCCCAGTTTAGCTGCTTCCTCCTCTGCTTAAATGATTCTAACCCAGCCCATCTTGTCTCTGGCATGACCACCTGCAATGGCTGCCCTTTTCCACTCTTGCCTGACTAACAATCTGTTCCCTACATGGTAGCCACAGTGAGGTGTGTGTACATAAATCAGATTCTGTCACTGCTGTTTAAAGCCCTCCAGTGGCACTGTGGCAGTTAAATCCAGGACTCTCTGCTATGGCCTGCAAGGTATCCCTGATCTCCCCCACACCCTTGCGTACCTTATCTCCTGCCCAGCTCCTCTCGCTCTGTGCCCCCCACACTGACCTCCTAACACTTCCAC